GGAAGGAGGGAGAGAAGGAGGGAGAGAAGGAAGGGAGGGGAAAGAATGATGGGGGAGGGAGGGATGGAGGGACACATGGCAGAAAAAGGAAAGAGGGAGAGAAGGAAGGAATGAATGGAGGGAGGGAGGTGAAAGGATAGATGGAGGGAGGGAGGGAGGGAGGGGGGAGGGGCAAAAGAGCAGCCCCCCCCAACCTTGTCTGTTCTTTCCCTTTCTTGGCTTTCATTTTCTTGCCAGGCTTGGAGGAGAAGGGGGCCGTGCCGATGCCGAACCCTTGTCCGTCCATTTCTCCCACCAGATGCCCCTCAGCGTCCACTATGCCTGCCTGGGGAGAGCGAAGAGCAGGAATCAGCCTCCTTGGGTGCGGGGTCTCCACGCTGGACCGAAGTCTCTGAGCTTCCAAACTCTGAGCTTCCCCTTCCCAAAGTTCCCAGAGTTTGAAAGGCAAACGGGACGAGAAACCCCAACCCCATTCTTCATCCGCTCACCTTCTGGACGGCCGAGAGCGTCGCAAAGTCGTTCTTGTCTATAAGGGCGTACTTGCTCCGCAATCTGGCTTCCACTTCCTGATCTTGTTGGCTGAAAGCAACACATATTGGTCAGGTTCGCATAAGACAGCAAACCACAAGGGCCACACAATGCGTCCACGTTGCCTGTCTTGAACAAAAGGAGTCAACGATCGGAGGGAATATTTGCAGGTGAGGGTTGAACTCTGGGGAGGGGGGTGCTGGGTACTTTGTGAGCTGGGCAGTTTTGCTTTCGGACGTTTCATGACCCATCTAGGGAACACCATCAGTGCTAGAAGGGAGGGGGAGGGGAAGGAAGGAGGAGGAGGAGGAGGAAGGACTGTGTGGGGTCCCTGGTGCTGTCTAAGCTGGTTGGTTTCCTTGCAGACGTTTCCTGACCCAACTAGGGAACATCATCAATGCGAGGAGGAGGAGGAGGAGGAGGAGGAGGAGGAGGAGGAAAAAACTATGAGGTCCTTGGTGGATTTCTTGCAGACCTTTCCTAATCCTCCTCTTCCTTCCTTCCTTCCTTCCTTCCTTCCTTCCTTCCTTCCTTCCTTCCTTCCTTCCTTCCTTCCCTTCCTTCCTTCCTTCCTTCCTTCAAGCACTGATAACGTTCCCTACTTGGGTCATGAAACGTCTGCAAGGACACCACCCAGCTCAGAGAGCACCAAGGTCCATAGTCTCCCTCCCTATAAACCCCCCTCCCCTTCCTAGCCCTGAGGATGTTCCCTAGCCAGGTCATGAAATGTCTGCAAGGGAACAGCCAAGCTCAAAGGCACCGAGGACCGCCAAAGAAGTCAGCCAGGTTAGGAGATGACAGAGCTGGACTGACTCAAGCCAGGCCTGGAAGCTAAGCAAGATCAACAGCGACAGATGCCTGGATGGGACACCACCAGGAAATCCAAGGGCCGAAGGCGAGGCTGGGAGATAGAAGGAAAACATTCCTGAAGGACTCGCAAATGTGGTCAGGAAGAGAGCCTGGACTCGGTCACTGCCAAGAAGGGCTTCTCCGACTCCTTAGGCGCCATCAAGTCGGTGTTGACTGGCTGGGGGATTCTGGGAGTTGAAGTCCACAAGCCTTAAAAGTTGCCAATTTTGGAGAGCCCTTTGTGACAGGGTGGGCAAATTCATACAATGTGGTAAGGCAAGAAGAGACAGCTTCCTCCACTGCCAGACCCCCAGCTACTCACCCGGTTTTTAGTCTGATCTAGCCTGTAGTACAAACTCAGCCGCTTTGGAGTAGGCTACACCCCCTAGACGCTGTGCTTACGGCTCCCAGAGGATGGTGGCTGGCTGGAACGATCTTCAGTTCCTGTTGGGGATCAGACTCAGGGACCCCCTCCCCATCCCTGCTTCTCAAGCACAGGGTGCCCTCCCTTTGGATGGAGCTTTCAGCAGTGGCCCCTCCCTTGACCTCTGAAGCGTCTCTGATGTCATAACTACAAGACCACCATGACATCATGAATCGAAGAATGGAAAGAAGCCATCAGTCCCTGCCCTCTCGGGGCACGAAGCTGCCAGTCCGTACCCACTAGAGCAAGGGTAGGCCACCTTGGCTCTTTTGTGACTCGTGGACTTCAACTCCCAGAATTCCTGAGCCAGCCACGCTGAGGGGAAAGGGAGAGGTTTCCAAGCTGGGCCATGCTGGCTCAGGAATTCTGGGAGTTGAAGTCCACGAGTCATGAGGGGGCCAAGGTTGCCTACCTCTGGCCTAGGCTGCTTTATGACTGGTGGACTTCAACTCCCAGAATCCCCGGCAGCTTGGATGAAGAGCTAAGAAAGTGGGTCCCCCCCCCCGTAGTCAACCTTGGCTCTGTTATGACTTGTGGACTTCAACTCCCAGAATTCCTGAGCCAGCATGGCTCAGCTGGAAACTCTCCCTTTCCCCTCAGCATGGCTGGCTCAGGAATTCTGGGAGTTGAAGTCCAGGAGTCATAAAAGGGCCAAGGTGGGCCTAGCCCTGGACTAGGCCTTCCTTAGAGTAGCCTTTAGTTCCCACCTTTCAAAATCTACCTTTGGGACTGACGGACTGACTGTCTGACTCTCTCTTTCTCTCCATCTCCATCCCTCCATCCATCTGCCTTACTCCCCATCTACTTATCCATCATGTATATACTATGACTTGAATTCTTTATCTTATGTATATTAACTATTTCTTTATGCCTATCCTCTCTCTATCTTTAACTATTATCCATCCATCTTTCCACCCTTCTATCATTTATCTATCCCTTATCTATCCACCTTTCTATCCCTCTATCATTTAATTATTGTTCATCCCTTATCTATCCGTTTTTCTATCCCTCTATTTATCTATCATCTATCCCTTATCTATCATCTTTTGTCTCGGCTACCACTTATTTGTCATTGTATATCTCTCTCTCTTTCATTTATCTATTATCTATCATCTATCCTTTATCTATCTTTATTACCTATCTAAATATCTTATTTATTTATTTATTTATTTATTTATTTAATTCATTTCATTACTTCTCTTCGTGTGTGTCTTTTTCTCTTATCTTTCAGGTTTTTTTTTAAAAAAAATAGTTCCATACTTTTATTGTGTTCAAAAATTCAGTAAATAAAGATAGCCTGAAGTTACTATTGTGGTCCTTTTGATACAAGCCTTGGCTCCTGCCTTAAGGGTTGGCAACTCTGCAGGCTAAGAGGAATCCTCCTCTAACCGTCAGACTTTGTGCTCCTTCTACTTGCAGACGTTTTGGAGGTATAGGAATAGATGATCTCCCAAGAGATCATTTTTCTGCTAAATCCATTCTGCCCAATGGGAACTTTTTTTTTTTGGCCGTAAGCCATACACCCAAAATGTGATCGTGTTGCTGTGGATGGGCGGGGGCATGGGTGTGCGTGTGGGGCAATCAAAGCTTCAAAATTGGGGGAGGGGCAAGTACCTTTGGGGGCATCTGTCATAACTCTGAATAGTTGCTAAGCGACCGGTCATTAAGTGAGGACTACCTGCATTCGCAAGCCCTTACCTTAAGATGATTTTGAACTGGTTAAAAACCTCTTGGATTTGACGGATGCTCATGATCTGTGGGAGGAAAGGAAGAAACAGGGAGAGGGACCTCATTGTGAGCCCAGGATAACCCTTCATGTTTGTGCCAGGAGTCGCCCACAAAACATTGCTTAGAATATACAAAGCTGGCTTTAAAAAAATAATAATAATAATTCACAGATTCCCAAAGCGAAAAGAAGCAAATTCTTTGCCTCGGGGTGTATCCAGTGGTTCCGTTCTCAGTCCTATTGAGATCCATTTTATGGATTCAACTGCCAGCCACTTAGATCTAATTTGAACTACATACATGATCCCTGCCCTGGGTGGTTTAGATAAGATAAGAAGATAAGATGAGATAAGATGAGATGAGATGAGATGAGATAACCTTTATTGTCATTTTTGACTGTGGGCACAGCGGCACACATCAAAAATGAAATTTAGTTGCCCGCTCTCAAAGTGAAACACATACATGACACACACCTAAACATACTATATACAACAGGGGTAGTCAGCCTTGGCTCTTTTATGACTCGTGGACTTCAACTCCCAGAATTCCTGAGCCAGCTGTGCTGGCTCAGGAATTCTGGGAGTTGAAGTCCACGAGTCATAAAAGAGCCAAGGCTGACTACCCCTGATATACAACATATGTATAGACCCACACCCCTACATATAACAATAACAATAAATATTAAATACTGTCCGTCTTGAATATATAACAGAAGGAGGAATCCAATCAAAGGATGCTACTGATTTAAATACAGGAGCGCAAAACCCATAAACCCCAGCTATCTGCAGTGTTTCCCAGCCTTAGCAACTTCAAGAGGAGTGGACTTCAACTCCCAGAATCCTCCAGCCAGCACAGCTGTGAATTGCTCTAAGTGGGGAACTACCTGTATTTCATAGGAATCTTCCCAGACAGACAGTTTGCAGCTGGGACAGAGAAGCATAGCCGGCTGGGGAATTCTGGGAGTTGAAATCCAGCCATCTTAAAGTTGCCAACATTGAGAATCACGGCTTCTTAGTGGTGCTTTACCCCCCCTCAGTGGGGGGGTATAGATTTCCCACCCTGGATACAGGTGACCCTCGGCTAACAACCATAATGGGGCTCAAAATTCCTGTTGCTAAACGAGAAATTTGTTTAATGAGTTTTGGCCCATTTTACGACCTTCCTTTCCACAGTTGTTAAGTGAATCCCTGCAGTTGTTAAGTTAGTAATATAGTCGTTAAGTGAATCCGGGTTCCCCATTCGCTTTGCTTGTCAGAAGGTCGCAAAAGGGGATCACGGGACCCTGGGGATCACTGCGACCGTCATAAATACGAGTCAGTTGCCAAGTGTCCGAATTTTGATCACGTGACCGTGAGGATGCTGCAACGGTCGTTAAGTGTGAAAAACGGCCATGAGTCCCTTTTTTCCAGTGCTGTTGTAATTTCGATTACTAAATGATCTACTGGAAGTCGCAGATTTCCCAGACTGGATATCTGAGGCTAGAAACGGGGCGACCCTGAATTCTAGTCCTGCCTGGGGCAAAAAGCCAACTGGGTGATGTTGAGCCAGCCACCTTCTCTCAGTCCTAGAAAGGGGGCAATGGCAAATCACTGCTGGAAAACCTTGCCACGCGAGCTGCAGAGGTTTTTCCTGGCCCTCTTTGAGGATCGGATGGGCTTGAACCGAAGGGAAAAAAGTAAGTATCCAAACCCTCTGAAGAACTTATACATTCTTCGTTATCTGCAAGCGAGCGACTCACGTCGAGCTCATCAATGGTGCCCTCCAGAAACCGGCGGACTTGAGAGTTGATTTCCGCGATCTGAATTTCGTTCATGGGCTCGTAGGTCACCGTCGGGCGATTGAGCTGAAAGTGGAAGATCAAAGAATCGATCAAATCAAGGAGGCCCGAGGCAGTTCCTCTCTTCTTTCTCCTCGGGGCCAGCCTCTACTTAATTGTCTCAACCTACGCTTCCAACTGGAATTATGGAAGGGTCCCTGGAGGTCCTCCAGTCCAACCCCCTGCTCAAGCAGGAGACCCTATACTTATCCGGTGGTCCAGTTCCTTCTTAAAAGCCTCCAGTTTGCCACTGAACCTTACCTGGTCTGGCCCAGGTGCAAACTGCCGCACTGGGAAGGTTAACTGGTTAGAACAATTAACTAGTGGAACAACCTGCCTCCAGAAGCGGTGAATCCTCCAACACTGGAGGTTTTTAAGAAGAGACTGGACAGCCATTTGTCTGAAATGGGATAGGGTCTCCTGCCTGAGCAGGGGGTTGGACTAGATGATCTCCAAGGTCCCTTCCAACTTTATTATTATTATTATTATTATTATTATTATTATTATTATTATTATTATTACTACTACTACTACTACTACTACTACTACTATTATTATTATTATGGGTCATCTCACAGTCAGCCAAATGTTCAGACTGGATTTGGCATTTTGTCTACCTATCGAGTCCTTACCCAGGACCTTGGATAGGCAGATGTGGATGTTTGATGGTATTACAGATATCGTCGCAGGATGGAAGCAGTTCCTAGTAAGGCCGCCTTTTGCAATTGACTAATAGCGAATTTGTCAATGCCAATGGAGTTCAAGTGGTGCTCCAGTTATATTATTATTATTATTATTATTATTATTATTATTATTATTATTATTATTATTACTACTACTACTACTACTACTACTACTATTATTATTATTATGGGTCATCTCACAGTCAGCCAAATGTTCAGACTGGATTTGGCATTTTGTCTACCTATCGAGTCCTTCCCAAGGACCTGGGATAGGCAGATGTGGATGTTTGATGGTATTACAGATATCGTCGCAGGATGGAAGCAGTTCCTAGTAAGGCCGCCTTTTGCAATTGACTAATAGCGAATTTGTCAATGCCGATGATGGTGTTCAAGTGATGCTTCAGTTATTTTGGGATTGCACCCAAGGCGCCTATTACTATTGGTACTACCTTTGCTTGCTTTTGCCACAGTCTTTCTATTTCTATTTGTAGGTCTTTGTATTTTGTTATCTTCTCCAGTTCTTTCTCGTCTATTCTGCTGTCTCCAGGCACTGCCACGTCCACTATCCAGACTTTTTTGTCTTTATCGACAATTGTTAAGTCCGGGGTGTTACGTTGCAGGTGCTTGTCTGTTTGAATTCTGAAGTCCCAGAGCAGTTTAATAATAATAATAATAATAATAATAATAATAATAATAATAATAATAATAATAATAATAATAATAATAATAATAATATTGTTATTATTATTATTACAACATGAAGTGTGAACAACTCTTCCACAAATGAAGAATTCAATTGGCTACTTTATTGCTTAATGGTTACACGTAATCCTTGTCTTATGACCACTAATGGAGCCCAAGATTTCCGTTGTTAAGCGAGACATTTGTTAAGTGCCCCATTTTGAGACCTTCCTTGTGACAGTTGTTAAGGGAATCCCTACAATTGTTAAGCTAGTAACACGGTTGTTAAATGAATCTGCCTTCCCCGTAGACTTTGCTGCTTAGTTAAGTTGCAAAAGGGGACCACGTGACCCTGGGATGCTGCGACCGTCATAAGTGTGAGTCCGTTGCCAAGCATCCGAATTTTGATCAGGTGACCACAGGGATGCTGCGACGGTCATTAATGTGAAAAACAGTCGTAAGTCCCCCTTTTTCAGGGCAGTTGTAATTTTAGCAGACACTAAGTGAACTGCTGCAGTCAAGGATCCCCCTGCATTTTGTAGGAATCTTCCCAGACTGTCAGTTTGCAGCTGGGACAGACTAGATAAGGTTCAATGGCATTCAACGGAGGTCAGACGTGGCTCCCTTGTGCCTATGTAAGGATGCCAGACTAATTCCCCGCTTGACTCCTCCCCCTCTCTGACAGCTAATGGGGAAGTAGGCAGACATCTCTGGCATGCAGAGAAGAAGGCCAATCCGCTCGGATCATGTCACCAACCCATCCTAGGTGGTGGCGCCTTACCAAACTGTTGTGCATCGCCAACTCTTCCTTCAGGTAGAGGACCTCTTTCTCCAAGTTCTTCACCATCCGCTAAGCAGACAAGAATGGCATGGACTAAGCGGTAGGAAAGTCAAAGTCAAGGACTGCCCAAAGATGTTATCAGACCCCAGGAAATACAACGTGTTCGTTAGCGTCCTTCATCCTCTAACCAGGATAAGGGATTATGAGGATGCCCTGATCATCACTGCACTGATGACATTTTCTAGGTTGGTAATGAAAGGTCTGTTAAGAGAACAACCAAGCTCAGAGAGCACCCAGGACCCCACAGTCCTCCTCCTCCCCTTCCTTCTCCCTGCAAATCCCACTCCCTTCTAGCAGTGATGATGTTCCCTAGTTGGGTCATGAAAGGTCTGCAAGAAAGCAATTAAGCTCAAAGACCGTCAAGGACCCCACAGTCTCCTCCTCCTTCACCTCCTCTCCACATCCCCCACTCTATTCTAGCATGGAGATGTTACTTAGCTTGGTAATGAAATATCTGCAAGAAACCAAATTCAGAGAGCTCCAAGGACCCCCTCAGTCCTCCTCCTCCTCCTCCTCCTCGTCCTCCACTCCACAAACCTTCTTTCCTTCTAGCACAAAAAACCCACCAAGCTCGGAAAGCATCAAGAACCCGTCTTTTTCCTCCTCCTCCTCCTCCTCCTCCCTCCTCCTCCTCCTCCTCCTCCTCCTCCTCCTCCTCTTTGCAAACCTCACTCCCTTCTAGCACTCATGATAATGCTCTTGGGTTTGACATTCAGATGTCTATCTCTGTTTTCTTTCACCCAGTCACTCCTTTGAGACTGCAGAAGCATCGGAAGAGGACATACCTCCGAGTCGATTTTTTCGTTGACAAACGGCACGGTAGTCACCCACTTCATTCTGGTGGCAAAGCGAAGTGTGGACAGCTGGAAAAATATGAGCATCGCCCTATTTGCCACAGTCCTGTTAGTTTGGACTCCCAACAGTTTGTATTAGAGATAATTGCATTGCATTGCATAGCATTCTATTCTATTCTATTATCCTTTCTCTCCCATTCTTTATTCTGTTCTGTTCTATTCTATTTCTATTCTATTCTATCCTATCCTATCCTATTCATTATTCCGTTCCATATTTTCTTTTCTATTCTATTCTATTCTATTCTATTCTATTCTATTCTATTCTATTCTATTCTATTCTATTCTATTCTATTCTATTCTATTCTAATCTAATTCTATTCTTTCCTATTCTACTCTACTCTACTCTATTCTATATTCTATTCTATTCTGTTCTATCCTATTCTATATTCTATTCTATATTCTATTCTATATTCTGTTCTATCCTATCCTATCCTATCCTATCCTATATATTGATTACCATCCTGGCATTATTGAACTGAGTGCTGCACCCACGTATCAATTGTGCTTACATTAAACTATGCTGGCTCAGGAATTCTGAGAGCTGAAGTCCACGAGTCATAAAAGAGCCAAGGTGGCCTACCCCTGTGCTAGAACAAGGCGCCAATCATGGAAAGCCATTCCCAAAACATTGAAAGGAAATACTACTGGACACTGATGAACTAACTGGTCAGGAGTGGGGGTGGACCAGGGGAAAGGGGGAAAATGCAACCTTTGGGAGGAAATACTCAGATCCGGCTTGACTTTAGTAAAAGAACCCTTGCGCAGAAAGAAATGGGAGTCGAGGGTCTTTCTTCCCTAAACGCCTGAGACGGGGCAGATCTGACACTTACCGTTTCCACGATGTGAATGGACTCACTGCAGACGTTAGCCACAAGGACAGTGTTGCAGTTCCCACCTAGGAAACAACAAAAAAAGAAAGAAAGAAGGCCTCCTCAAGAGAGGGGATTCATAAAACATCTCCTGCCTCCCTGCTCTGGTGGGTCTGATGGATGTGACTGGGAAATGAGGGTCCTTCAGACAACAGGCAGGGAGCCACCACGGAGAAGGCCCTTCTTCCGGGTCCCACCAGATGGACCCCCTTGAGAGAGGAGACCCCATAGCACAGTGGTTCTCAACCTTTTTAATGCCGTGACCCCAACCGGTCGTAAGTCGAGGACTAAACCGGTCGTAAGTCGAGGACTAAACCGGTCGTAAGTCGAGGACTAAACCAGTCGTAAGTCGAGGACTACCCAACCGGTCGTAAGTCGAGGACTTTCCCTGCCCGGGAGCACCACACATGCGTGGTTCCGCCCCCTGCGCCGGCCGAGGTGTAGCTGGCAAGCGGCAGAGACAGAGCAGGCCGACCACCAGCTGGCCCAGCCCAAGGGAGGTAAGGCACCCGCCGGAAAAGGGGGAAAAAATGGCGGACAAAAAAATGGCAGACAAAAAAAATGGCGGACAGCCTTGCTTGGCGACCCCCATGAAATGGTTGATCGACCCCAAATGGGGTCCCGACCCACAGGTTGAGAACCACTGCCATAGCATCTCCTGCCTCCTTGCTCCTCTGTTGGGTCTGGTGGATGAGACTGGGAAATGAGGGTCCTTCAAATGACAGGCAGGGAGCCACCATGGAGAAGGTCCCACCAGATGGACCCCCTTGAGAGAGGAGACCCCCATAGCATCTCCTGCCTCCTTGCTCCTCTGTTGGGTCGGGTGGATGAGACTGGGAAATGAGGGTCCTTCAGACAACCTGCCTCTCCTGCCCCGTGTAGAGCTTTGAAGGTGACAACCAGCATCTTAAAGTGGACCCAGAAGCAAAGGGGGCAGCGCCTGCAGGAGAAGTGACACAAAACCACGCAGGCCTCTGGATTTGGAACCGATTGAATCACTGGACACTTTTCAAGGGCCACCCCATGTAAAGCGCATGGCAGCACGGGCAGTCCTCAACTGAGGCCAAAATTTCCGTTGCAAGACAGTTTTTCAGTTTTGCCCCATTTTATGACCCTTTCTTGCCACAGTTGTTAAGTGAATCATTGCAGTTATTAAGTGAACCTGGTTTCCCCAATGATTTCGCTGGTCAGAAAGTCGCCAAAGGGGAATCACGTGACCCACTGGGACGCTGCAACCATCATAAATACGAACCAGCTTCTATTTTATTTCAATTTCTATTCAATATTCCATTCCATATTTTCTATTCTATTCTATTCTATTCTATTCTATTCTATTCTATTCTATTCTATATTCTATATTCTATATTCTATCCTATTCTCCTATCCTATCCTATTCATTATTCCATTCCCTATTTTCTATTCTATTCTATTCTATTTTCTATATTCTATCCTATTCTCCTATTGTATCCTATCCATTATTCCATTCCCTATTTTCTATTCTATTCTATTCTATTCTATATTCTATCCTATTCTCCTATCCTATCCTATCCATTATTCCATTCCCTATTTTCTATTCTATTCTATTCTATTCTATTTTCTATTCTATTCTATTCTATTCTATTCTATATTCTATATTCTATCCTATTCTCCTATTCTGTCCTATCCATTATTCCATTCCCTATTTTCTATTCTATTCTATTCTATTCTATTTTCTATCCTATTCTCCTATCCTATCCTATCCATTATTCCATTCCCTATTTTCTATTCTATTCTATTCTATTCTATTTTCTATTCTATTCTATTCTATTCTATTCTATATTCTATATTCTATCCTATTCTCCTATTCTGTCCTATCCATTATTCCATTCCCTATTTTCTATTCTATTCTATTCTATTCTATTTTCTATTCTATTCTATTCTATTCTATTCTATTCTATTCTATTCTATTCTATTCTATTCTATTCTATTTTCTATTCTATTCTATTCTATTCTATTCTATTCTATTTTCTATTCTATTCTATTCTATTCTATTCTATTCTATTCTATTCTATATTCTATCCTATTCTCTATTCTCTATATTCTCTATTCTATCCTATTCTCCTATCCTTTCCTATTCATTATTCCATTCCCTATTTTCTATTTTCTATTTTCTATTTTCTGTCCTGTCCTGTCCTGTCCTGTTGTTTCCCTGGCATTATTGAACAGACTGCTGCACCCAAGTATCAATTGTGCTTACATTAAACCAGGCTTCGTATGACAATCTAGCTTTGTTGTAACCCTGGAAGGGAGTCTGAATCTGGATTTCCCCCACCCAAGTGAGGTGCCTACCTAAGGAATCCTTCAGGGTGTAAGTCAGCTTGCTCTGCCGAAAGGGGACGTGATCCCGGCTGCAGTCCGACAAGGCGATGACCACCTGCTCCAAGAACGACAGCGACTTGTTGATGTAAGTTGCTTCCTTCAGCCCAAAGCCTTCCGACTGTTTAAAAAGAAAAAAATGGTCAAAGGATCTGAAAGAGTAGTCCTCGTCTTACAACAGTTCATTTAGTGACCCTCAGAAGTCACAATGGCACTGAAAAAAGGGACTTACGACCGTTTTTCACAGTTACGACGCTTGTAACATACCCATGGCCACCTGATCCATATCTGGACTCTTGACGGGTGGCTCGTGTTTATGACGGTTGCAGCGTCCTGGGGTCAGGTGATCCCCTTTCGCGACCTTCTAACAAGTCGAGAAAGGTTGTAAAACGGGGGCAAAACTCACTTCAGGACTGTCTCACTTAGCCAAAGAAATTTTGGGCTCCGTTGTGACTGTAAGCCGAGAGCTAGTTAGTTTTGCCCCACTTTACGACCTTTCTTGCCACGCTTTTTAAGTGAATCACTGCAGTTGTTAAGTCAGCAACAGCTTATTAAGTGAATCTGGCTTCCCCCACTGTCAGAATGATCACGTGACTCCGGGACGCTGCGACCGTCATAAATATGAACCAGTTGCCGAGCTGGCTGAATTTTGATCACGTGACCAGAAGGATGCTGCAAAGGTCGTAAGTGTGAAAAAAGGTCATCGGTCCTTTTTTTCAGTGCTGTTGTAAGTTTCAAAAGTCACTAAGCGAATGATTGTAACTTGAGGACTAGCTGTAAATATAATAGGCAGAGATTTGGGAAGTCCTCAATAAGTCGGTAAAAGGCCAAATCCTGTCTAAATCCCTGGCTGACTATGCGATGAACCAAAATAATAATAATTTATTGAATTTATATCTGCCCAACTCACAGTGACTCTGGGTGCAGGTAGTCCTCGACTTGCAACAGTTCATTTAGTGACCATTGAAAGTTACAAGGCACTGAAAAAAGTGACTTGTGACCGTTTTTCATACTTACGACCACTGCACCATGCCTCTGGTCATGTGATGAAAAATCAGACGCGGGCTCATATTTATGACAGTCGCAGCGCCCCGGGGTCACGCGATCCTCTTTTGCGACCATTTGACAAGCAAAGTCAATGGGGGAAGCCGGATTCACTTAACGACCAAGTGGCTAATTTAAAAGACTCAGGGATTGACTTAACAACTGAAAGGCAGAAAGGTCATCAAATGGGGCAAAACCCCACTTAACAACTCTCTTGGAAATTCTGGGATCGAGCTTGGTCGTAAGTCAAGGATCACCTGTAGTCCCCAGTTTGAAAAGCAACTTCAAGAACCCGAAACGTAACTTTTGCTTTCTTACCTTGCTCTTTGACAGCCTCTCAGAGCCCGCCAGATCAACCAGGTTAATCTTAGAGACGACGTATCTGGCCTCGGAAAGCATTCTCGAGTGGCACTGAAGTCAGGAGATCAGAAATTAGAGGGCGGGTTTAAAAAACGGCGACGCTTTGAACCACAGGTTCCTGAGGCTCTTCCAGGCAACCCAAAACGCTTAACTGTTCCAGAGTGCTGGCAATTTTTTTTAACAAAACAGAATAACAGAGTTGGAGGTCTTGCTCAAGCAGGGGGCCCTATACCAGGGGTAGGCCACTTTGGCTCTTTTATGACTCGTGGACGTCAACTCCAAGAATTCCTGAGCCAGCCTGGTCTGGATCCAAGCCCGCAGTTTCATCAAAATGGCCGACTGAGGAATTCTGGGAGTTGAAGTCCAGGAGTCATAAAAGAGCCAAGGTGGCCCACCCCTGCCCTATACCATTCCAGACAAATGGCTGTCCAGTCTCTTCTTAAAAACCTCCAGTGTTGGATCACCCAGAAATTCTGGTGGCAAGCAGTTCCACTAGTTAATTGTCCTCACTGTTAAGAAGTTTCTACTTAATTCCAGGTTGCTTCTCTCCTTGATTCGTTTCCATCTCTTGTTTCTTGTCCTGCCTTCTGGGGCTTTGGTGAATAAGCTGAGCCCGTATTCATTGTGGCCTCCCCTCAAATACTGGAGCATTGCTCTCATGGCGCGCGCGCACACACACACACACACACACACACACTCCTTCTTTTCTCTAGACTAGCCAAATGCGATTCCTGCAACTGTCCTTCATATGTTTGTCTCCAGGCTTTTAATCATCTTAGTTGTTCCTTGTCTGCATTCTTTCTAAAATCGCAACATCTTTTTTATAGCATGGTGACCAAAACTGGATGTTGTATTCCAGGTGTGGCCTTACTAAGGCTTTATAAAGCGGTACTCAGACTTCCCGCGATCTTGATTCTATCCCTCTGTTAATGGAGACTAGAATTGCATTGGCTTTTTTGGCTGCTGCAGCACACGGCTGGCTCCTATTTAAGTGATCGTCCACTAGGACTCTGAGATCCCTCTCACCGTTATTGGCATTAAAGCCAAGTTTCACAGGTACTGACCTCGATGTAGATGGTGAAGATGCAGTGTGACCTGGAAGAATGCTTATTCAGAGCATGTTGGCCCACAGATCTGTTGGTGTCACCCTAGTGAAGAAGGGAACAAGGGAGGTAGAAATTGGAAGAAAATTCATTTATTCAGCGCCACTTCTGAAATGGAATTAAAAAGGAATTGCTATCCAGTGGCCCTGAAGCGCATACAAATGCAGTATCGGTAGTCCTCGACTTATGACGGTTTAATGACCGTTGCAAGTTATCACGGCACTGGAAAGAAAGCAAGTTACGACAGATCCTCACTCTTAACGACTGTTGCAATGTCCCCACAGTCACATAACCAGAATTCAGGCACTTGGCAATTGGTGTGTATTTACAAGGTTGCAGGGACCCTGGGGTCATCTGATCAACACCTGCAACCCTCCTCTGTGTGTGTGTGGGGGGGGGGTCTTCTGACAAGCACAATCGGAGAAGCCAGATTAACGACCATGATTCACTTAACAACCGCAAGGATTTGCTTAATAACTCTGGCAAAAAAAATGGGTGTAAACCCAGGCCTGATTCATCACTTTGCTTAGCAATGGAAAGTCTGCTCCCCCATTGTGGTCGTAAGTGGAGGACTACCTGGACCGGCACAGCAATGGCTGACTGACTGGCAGGTCTGATGAATTGCTGGTTTGTAGAAATGCCACTGAGGGTGGAACGCCTTGTTGAGGAACAGGACTCCCACGGACAAATAACATTTTGGATTTTGAAATAACTGTCCCTGCGGGGCGTTTCCTAAAGGAATTATCAGAGCTATACAGCTACACGGAGGACTCACCTGCGTAGTCCTCAATTTACGACCACCACTGAGCCCCAAATTTCCATTGCTAGGAGAAACACAGTTATTGTTCAATGAATTTCGTCCCTTTTTACAACCTTTCTTGCCACCGTTGTTAAGTGAAACACTGCAGTTAGCGACTCGGGTGTCGAGTGAACCTGGCTTCCCCCGTTTGACTTGGCTTCTCAGACGGTCGCAAAAGGGGATCACGTGACCCTCCCGGGGACACTACGACCGTCGTAAATGCGTCTGAATTTTGATCACGTGATCACAACGGCCGCAGGTATAAAAGAAGGGCCCAGTCGCTCTTTTCACTGACATTGTAAACTTTGAACGGTCTCTAAACGAACAGTTGTAAGTCGAGGTCGACCTGCACAGCCTCCTCTACAAAGTTGCTGCCCCTTGCAAACGGGACGGCAAAAATCCCCATGGTTAATTTTTATTGTTTTACTTTTGTAATGCTTAATGTTTTTAATTTTTTAAATGGTTTAACTGCTTTATATGCTTCTTTTTATGACGCGGTATAAGCCACCCAGCACCGCTGGACAGCGAGCAGAAGGAAAGAGTGCCGGCTCTCTTACCTCAAACAGGAAATTTAAGGCAATTTCCTCGTTGGGAGCAGGGTGGATGGAGAGGCCTTTGACGGAGACCCCCTGGGGACTCTCCACTATGGACAAGGGGAGGTCCACGTCCGAGCCGGGAGGGAGCGAGGGGAGGAGGTCCACGATGGTCTCATTGTAAATCTCCAGGTAGGAAATCCGGACGGTGATAAGCCGGCTGCTGTGCTCCTCCATGGACTTGAACACCTGCAGCAACAAGCAGCCAATGGGAATTCTATCTGTCTGTCTCTCTATCTCCATCCATCCATCCATCTATCATCTATCCATCCATCCGTCCGTCCATCCATCCGTCCATCCATCCATCCATCATCCATCTCTCTATCATCTATCCATCCATCCATTTATCATCTATCATCCATCCATCTATCCATCCATCCATCCATCCATCTATCATCTATCCGTCCGTCCGTCCGTCCGTCCGTCCGCCCGTCCATCCATCCATCCATCCATCCATCTATCTATCTATCTATCATCTATCTATCTATCTCTATCTCTGTCTATGTATCAATATCAATCTGTCTTTCTATCATCCATCCATCCATCCATCCATCTATCCATCCATTCATCTATCATCTATCCATCCCTCTATCATCTATCCATCCATCCATCTTCATCTATCTATCTATCTATCTATCTATCTATCTATCTATCTATCTATCTATCTATCTATCTATCTATCTATCTATCCATCCATCTCCCTCCTCACCTATCTTCCCATCCATCTACCTAAAAGCCTACCTACCCATCCATCCATCCATCCATCCACAGTTCTTAAGGGAATCCCTGCAGCTGTTAAGTTACTGACAAGATTGTGAAGTGAATCCGGCTTTCCCCCACTGACTTCGCTTGTCGGAAGGTCTCAAAGGGGGATCGTGTGACCCCAGGACGCGGCGACCGTCATAAATATGAGTTAGTTGCCCAGTGTCCAATTTTGATCACATGACTATGGGGATGCTGCGACGGTCGTAAATGTGAAAAACAGCCTCATAAGTCACTTTTTCCAGGGCTGTTGTAGCCTTGAATGGTCACTAAATGAAGTGTTTTAAGTCGAGGACTACGTGTATCCTGTCTTTGATAAGTAACTCAAGACAGGGAACATCTCCAACCCTCTTTCCTCCTCCTCCTACTTTCCCCACAAAAAGCAGCCTGTGCCTTAGGCTGGGCTCAGAGGATCCCCTGCAGGCATTCACCCAGCTTTGCAGGGATGGAGAAGGCGTGTGTCCACTGGACTACAAAGGGAGGCCCAGTCTAGCAGGACATCCAGTGAAAAAGTTGGCCAGCTTCCTCGCCAAACGTCTGGGTCACATCACGTGAAGGGCCGTCTTTCCCCAGTCACCTCCACCTGACCCACCGGAATGTGGACTCGGGTTCCCTCTCTTAAGGAGGCCCACCTGGTAGGACCCAAAAGAAGGGCCTTCTCCCTGGTGGCTCCCTCCCGATGGAACATCAGCCGTGTGGAGGTAGGACTGGCCTCTGCCTTGACGCTCTTTCACAAGAGACACTGAAGACGGGGTTCTGCCAATGAGCCTGGGGACCCCACACTGACACGGAGCCCGTCAAAGGCTGGGTTTGATGGCTGTTGCTGGGAGGGGGTGGGGGGGTTCATTACTTATTTATTGAATTTGTATTGTGGTTTCACCCTTGCAAGTCGCCCGCCGTCCCTGACAGTGACTTAGGTGGACGTATATTCTTTCTTTCTTTTTCTTTCTGCTGTATCTATCAGCTATCTATCATCTGTCTATATCCATAACCTACATTTATAATCCTCCCCCTCCCTTTCTTTTCCTTCCTTCCTTCCTTCCTTCCTTCTTTCCTTTTTTTCTTTCCTTTTCTCCTTTCCTTCCTTCCTTCCTTCCTTCCTTCCTTCCTTCCTTCCTTCCTTTTATTCATTCATTCGTACACACACACACACACACACACACACACACAAATAAATAAATAAATGTCAACCACCTGCTGGATAGCTCGAGGGATGATCCCCCTGTGCTTGAAGTTCCCAGTGGTTCCCATCATGGTGAAGGTCTTGCCGGCTCCGGTTTGCCCGTAGCACATGATGGTCCCTGGGGAGGGTTCAGAGCCGACAGAGGAGGACAGGGAAAGAGGTTTGCGTTGTGAATACAGGTAGTCCTCGACTTATGACAGTAACGGAGCCTGTAATTTCCATCTTATGTAATGACGGTGGTTTAAGTTGAGCCACTCACGTGACCGACTCGGAATTTGCAGCATTTTTTGCAGGGGTTGTTAAGTAAAGAAGGTGGTTGTTAAGCAAATCCACTGTCCACAATGGATGTGCTTTGCTGGAAACTGGAAATAAAATATCAGTTTCTGGGGGGGGGGGAATGGTCAATGATAGTTATGTGATCACAGGGCACTGTGAGTGGCCCTAAATGCCATCACATGACTGTGAGAGGGAGTGGCCGTCGCAACTTTGAATCTGAGGCATAAACACACACTAAGGAACTGGTCGTAAATCGAGGACTACATATAATGTTTGGTCAATATGATATGGGTTGGGCGTAATGCCCAATTTACCTTCTCCAAGGACCTTGGACTAAAGTCCCCATGGTTCCCAGTCCAGAAAGCCAATGATTCCAGGAGGGAAGAGGGTGGCTTTGACCCAACATTGGCCAGCTTTCCTGGAAGTGGCAGGCTCCATTCAGAACAACAGACTTGGAAGGGACCTTGGAGGTCTTCTAGTCCAACCCCTTGCTCAACCATTCCAGACAATTGCTTGCTCAACATTCCAGAGGATGGAGCACCCACAACTTCTGGAGGCAAGCCGTTCCACTGGTTACCGTAAATGTTCTAAGTGTCAGGAAATTTCTCCTTAGTTCCAGGTTGCGATGAGTCTGTTTGAATGCCAATTCACGGAATAAGTGCCAAAAAAAGTCAATTCAATCCTAAACTGAATAACAGTTGCAGGAATTGGGTATGTCTAGTGAAAAGAAGGACCAGGGATGACATGATAGCAGTCTCCCAATATCTCAGGGGCTGCCCCAAAGAAGAGGGGGGTCCACCTCCTCTCCAAAGCACCAGAAGACAAGAAACCATGGATGGAAAATGATCAAGGAGAGACCCAACTTGGAATTAAGGAGGAATTTCCTGACAGGGAGAACCATTAACCATGGAACAACTTGACTCCAGAAGTTCTGGGTGCTCCATCACTGGAGGTTCTCAATGGTATAGACCAGGGGTAGGCAACCTTGGCTCTTTTATGACTCGTGGACTTCAATTCCCAGAATTCCTGAGCCAGCCAGGAGAAGGGGAAATGGAGAGGTTTCCAAGCTGAGCCATGCTGGCTCAGGAATTCTGGGAGTTGAAGTCCACCAATCATAAAAGAGTCAAGGTTGCCTACCCCTGGGATAGACTCTCCTGCTCGAGTTGAGGAGCTGGGGGTCCATGTCATGCTCTCTTGTATTGAATGATCTGGAGATGGGGGGGTCTCTGCCAGGAAAGGCCCCTTGCTTCTTCTGAACTGAGATGGTGATACTCAACTGGAGTTGAGGGTGCTCCATCACTGGAGATCTTTAAGAAGATGCTGCACAGCCATTTGTCTGAAGTAGTAAAGGATCTCCTGCTTGAGCAGGGGGGCTGGACTATATGACCTCCGAGGTCCCTTCCAACTCTTGTCATTCTATGATTCTGTAAGGGTTTCCTTCCTTGAGTCCCCCGAGGGGCCAGACTAGAACTAGATGACCTCCGAGGCCCCTTCCAGCTCTTGTGACCCTGTCAACAGCAATCATGGTTTACCGTTGTAGCCGTTCAGGGCCTGCGAGACGAGCTCTTTGGCGACCGCGTCGTAAACCACGTCCTGGGGCGCATTGTGGAAGACACCGTCCAGCTTAAAAGACCAGTCCGTCTGCTTGTTGTTGACGATGCCTTTCGAAAGATCCCGCTCGATGTGAACCTCGATGGTCTGGGAAGGGAAGCCGTGCGAGTCCCGCCTTAAGGCTCGTCAATTTCACCGAGGAAGGAGGGACTGACGGGAGCCTTTCACGTTTTAACGCTATTTGTTTACCTTGTTGTCGGCCCCAAATTTGAGGACGTCTTGAGGGAAGTCGGCCGTGGGCTTGACCCGGGCGAACGCCTTCACTTTCTTCGAATTGAGGCACACTGCCATGAATTCTGGGGAGGAGGGAAAATGACTGGATTCCCTCCAACCGCACAACACCGGAGGGTTTATTCATCTGCAGGCAGTCCTCGACTTACAACAGTTCATTTAGTGACTTAGGACCATGTGTCACACTTAACGACCGTTGCAGCACCCCCACGGCCCCGTGATCAAAATTCAGACGCTTGGCCACTGACCCGTATTTATGACGGTCACAGTGTCCCGGGGTTATGTGATCCCCTTTGGTGACGCTCTGACAAGCAAAGTCAATCGTGTCACTAGCTGAACGACTGCAAGGGTTCACTTTCTTATGAAGAAGAAAGGGCGTAACATGGGATGAAATTCACTTAACAGATGTTTCACTTAGCAACAAAAAATTTGGGCTCCATTGCAGTTGTAACTCGAGGACTACCTGCAACGACTGAATTCCTCTAGCCTGCACAACATCAGAGGGTTTATTTCTTTATAAAATTTATAGGCCACCTATCTTACCTCAAGATAACAATCATATTGCTTTGAAAAATGCACTCAGGCAGTCCTCAACCTACGACCGCAATTGAACCCAAAATTTCCATTGCTAATCAAGGCAGTCGTAAAGTGAGGTTTGTCGCATTTCAGGATCTTTCTTGCCACAGTTGTTAAGTGAATTACTGCACCGATTGACTTAACAACTGTGGCCAGAAAGGTTGTAAAAAACGGAGCAAAATTCACTTAGCAAATATCTCGATTAACAACAAAAATTTTGGGCTAAATTGTGGATGTACGTTGAGGATTCTGTGTACTAATTTCAGAGACAAACATTTTTATTTATTCAGTAATATAATTTATACTCTACTCAATTCCCAGTCGGTGCCCTGTAACTCCTTCCTTGGCCTTGTAATGTGGAATTTTATCTACCCTTGCCTCTCTTTTAACTTTTATATTCAGTTTTTATGTTTTTAACATTTTAACTGTATACTGTCCAGAGTTCTCCTGTGAGGGAGTTGGGCAGTTTTTAAATGTGACAGATACGGATAGATAATAAATAATGTCAGATAGATATGAATGATGTAATTAGAAAGATGTGATAGATGACAGACAGATCAAGAATACAGATAATTAATAGACAGCTAGAAACAGATAATGAAAGATGTGATAGATGATAGATCAATGACAGAATAATTAATAGAGATAGATAGAAGATAATGACAGATGCAAAAGGTAAATGCGATAGATGCAATAAATAGATGATAGAGTAAAAAGACAGAATGTAATTGAGATAGATGCAAAAGATGCCATAAAGACATAAAGATGCGAAAGACAGATTTGATAGATAACAGGTAACAGATAGATGTGAAAGGTAGATGCAATAGGTGATAGATAAGATAGATGCGATATAAATAAATATAGGCAGATGATAGATCAATATGACAATATAGATAACTAATAAAGACAATGATTGGTAGGCAAATAGGTAGGTAGGCAGAGATAAATAGATGAGATAAAATAAACATATACAATGGATAGATGGAGGATGGGAAAATAGGCATGTATGATAGATGGATAGACAGATAATAGACATGTAAAATTGATGGATAGATGAATAAATAGATTAGATCTATCTATAAGCAACCTAGAACTAAGGAGAAATTTCCTGACAGTCAACTAATGAATGCTCCAACACTGGAAGCTTTTAAGGAGAGACCAGACAACGATTTGTCTGAAATGGCATAGGGTTTTCTGCCTGAACAGGAGGTTGAAGACTTCCAAGGTCCCTTCCTACTACTACTACTACTACTACTTCTTCTTCTTCTTCTTCTTCTTCTTCTTCTTCTTCTTCTTCTTCTTCTCCTTCTTCATAATAATAATAATAATGATGATAAGATTGATATGTAAGATGGATGGATGAATAGACAGATAGATGGGATAGATATGGATGGATGGATGGATGGAATAACAGGCATGTATGATGGATAGACAGATAGGATAATAGACATGTAAGATGGATGGACGGATGAATAGATTAGATAGATGGAATAATATATGGATGGGTGGATGGGAAAATAGGCATGTATGATAGATGAAGGGATAGATAGAATAATAGATGTGTAAGATGGATGAATAGGTTAGATGAAATAAGATATGGATGGTTGGATGGATGCAATAATAGGCAAGTATGATGGATGGAGGCAGGATAATAGATGTGTAAGATGGATGAATAGATTAGATAAATGGAATAGATAAGGATGGATGGGATAATAGGTATGTATGATGGAGGGATAGACAGATAGGATAATAGACATATATGATGACTGGCTGGCTAGGTAGGATATAGACAGATAAATAGATAGATGACTGATAGATGATAAATAGATGACAGATAGATAGATAGATAGATAGATAGATAGATAGATAGATAGATAGATAGATAGATAGATAGATAGATAGAGATAGATAGAGTAATAGACATTGGATGGATGGAGGCAGACTCTGGGACGGTTACAATCAAAAGCCCCCCCTCCCCAAATCCAGAGATTAGAGAAGGGCATGGCTGGCAAAAAGAGAAGAAGAGGATCAGGCTTTTCTGCCTCCGAGATTCCCTCCGAGGCCAAAGGAGAGACGAAGCCAGGAGGGCCTCTCCCCTCCCCCCCCCACACGCGCCCCCAGACTCATTTGGGGCACCCGGCGGGAGGGGGGGGCGGCGCGGGGGGCTTCCACCCGGCCTCTGCCCCCTACCCTGGCTCGAGGCCTTCCCGTCGGGAGCCGCCATCCTCCCTTGCGACCTAGCGGGGCCCGCTCCCAGGCGACGGCCGAGGGAGGCCCGTCGCCATCCTCTCGGGAAAAAAGGCCGCCTCGGCTCCGGCTCTCAGGGGAGTGAGGAGCAACGGCGCATGCGCGAACCAAGCCGTTGCCCCGGCGACGGCTCCATCCGGCGGCTCTGTTGCTGCGGCGACGGGCGCTTCCGCTCAGCGCGGGCGGAAAAGGAGGCGGGGCCTGGGCGGCTTCCGGTCTCCCGGCGGCGCGGCGACGGTGGCCGGGCGGAGCCAAACCGCGGCGTCGAGCGAGCGAGCGAGAAAAGTCCCTTCCGAGCCGGGCTTGGCGTGGAAGCCGACGAGATGCTGGAGGCGGCCGGGCCGGACCCGGAGCTGGACCCGGAGGACCTGGTGCACTTCTCGGTGGGCGACCTGCCCAGCCGCGGCTACGGGGTGATGGGCGAGATCCGGCGGCAGGGGAAGCTGTGCGACGTGACCCTCAAGGTGGGCCCGGGGGAAGGCGGCGGGGGGGCGCTGGGGTGTGTGCGTGTGATTGACAGGAGGGAGGGGAGAAAGAAGCAGGGGCTGGATAGGGAGGGATTAGAGGTAAAGTGGGGCGGGGGGACCTTTTGGATGACCTTTGGGGCGCTCCTAGGCTCCCCCCCCCCCGTTCTCCGCCAAGAACCTGATCGACGTACAATATCCGGGAGTGGAGCCTCCCTTGGGGTCGCTGCTGCTCCCTGAGCTTTCATGACCCAACCAGGGAAGGT